ACATCAATAACCATATGAATTCTCTATTATTTTTTGTTTTGTCATGTTAAACACTTCTAATCTTTTTTTTTTAATTTTAATAAGAAGAAGAACATACTTTTTCCATTTACCTTTCATCCTTTTCTTTGTTGCTTTTATATATTACTTTTAATTATTTTGTTCAATTTGTCTTAAAATCCCAGTGAAAGTATGATAAGTATTTTAACACCAGTTTGCTATCATTTCTCCATCCCACCCTCCACACACACACATTCTTTGAGTAGGAAAAGGAACAATTGTGACCCTCCAACTTTGAATTCTACATTGAATAAACAATTTTAATATTGATTTTTGGGTATGATAAGATATGAGTTTATTCTAAAATGAAATGTTTCTAATTGCATTCTTTTTTGGTTTGGATTCATTTGAACGGTGGTGGAGCTAGGAATTTTCTTTTGGGGGTAAGTTAAACAAGAAAAAACCCCAAAACCAAACTGAACCAATGAAATCAAACTGAAAAATCTGGTTAATCAAACATGTCAATTTGGTTTTGATTCAGAATTTTTGAAAAATTGAAGGTATAGATTCAATTTCGATTAACTAATATGAAATTGACAATTAATCGAAACAATTGATATAGATATATAATATCAAAGTATCAGTATTGGATATTGTAGTTAGTAACTTAGATATGAATCCAAATACAAATGCGCTTTGGAAATTCACGAATATAAACAAAAAAAAATGTGGAAATGCTTAGATATGTTAGGGGAATACACATAAATTTCATAAGTACATTAGTAACACTGAATTTCAGGTTAAAATATCCATAACTAATGTATAAATACATAGAAAATGTACATTTTAATGATATATATAAAATATATATTACAATTAATATAACATATGCATGTATGTCATACAATTTTATTGACAATGCACAAATCAAGAGTCTTAGACACAAATTATATAGATTTTTACAAATTAATACATGTGCAAAGCCATTGTTTTTATATATTTTATTTAAGCCAAAGGCACAAAATATATGCAACTATTATATCTTAGTTACTATATCAATTTTTTTTACTTTTTAAATTAACAAAAAATGCAAGTAAATACTAAATTCTCAAATGTTTGTTGAACAATAATTTTATTTTTGTAAACAATAAATATGCTATCGAATTTGTTAAAATTTCTAAGATACATATAATATGCAAATTCATATTTTTAATTACTAAAATAATTATTTCATGCTTAAAATTTTTATTTTTATTTTTATATTTTTTAAAAATAAAGTCATTTTTATATAAGTTAGGTTAGTATGTGGTTTTCTAGATTCAATTTAATATTATATTCTTGAATATTTATAAACAATATTTTTATTTTTGTATATAGTAATATGTTGTTATTTATTGTAAATTAAAATAATAATTATTAATCTATAAAAGTATATGAAAATTTTAAGATGCTTATCATGTGCAAACTTACAAATTTTAAGTACTAAAATAATTATTCTATTATTAATATCTTTTGTATAAATTTTTTTGAGATTGAAAATCATTTTTTGATATAAATGTGGGTTTTATAAATTATTTATTCCATTAATTTATAATGTCAACTTTGAATATTATTCTTTTTAATTTTTAGTCGATATTGTTGAACATACACAACTGTATTTGTTTGAACTTCATGTGGACACAAAAGTTAATAAAATTTAGTATGTTTCATTTATTGTCACAAGAAATAATGTAGCTTAGTGGTTGAATGCTACATTTGAGGTTTGACCTAGGCAATCAAATTGCTCGACCCAAAAATTGGTTGCTTATCCAATTTCGTTTTCACCCTATCCCATCTTTTTCCAAAAAAATTTGTTGTTCAACAAAATATTTAATTTTTAAATAATAATCAATAAATAAAATGAAGATTTTGAAAACTAGTTATGTGATCGAATATAGAGCCAACTAGGGGGGGGGGGGGAGGTTGAGGCTTGAGCAAGAAATGAGAAATGACCAAATAAAATTTGAGACATGAGATAGATATTTGATTTTATGGTAAAAAGAGGGAGGGATAAACAAGATATGAACCAGCTTATAGGGTCAAACAAGCTGCTGCAACGTCAACAATGACCTTAAATTGATATATAACACTACCACCTACTCTTCTTCTTCTTCTTCTTCTTTTCTTTCTTTCTTTCCTCCCTTATCTCTCTCTCTCTCTCTCTTTCAACTGTCATTTCACTCCTTTTCTCTAATCTAAGGTCTAACAATGTAAAGTATATTATATGGTTAATTGATCCATTTGACATATGTTTGAATTGCTGATCTAGTCTGGTGGCTAAAGTGGTTATGTTTCCTCCAAGGTTTAAAATTTTGTATACAATATGCCCAATTTGAAAAATAGAGATGAGATATGCATAAAAACTGATACGCTATGAAAAAGATATGGCAAAAAACTGGAAAAAAAAATGAAGGGGGAAAGCAAGTTTCTTTTCCTTGAAATAAGCTCCCAAATGACTCTAAAACTCCAAATTAAACCTCATTCCAAGAGTGCTAGATTTGCAAAAAACAAGTGTGATTCGTTAATTTTTTTTGAAGATTTTTCAAAATTTGAAAAAATATGGCAAAAATAGGTAAGTCTTTTCATTTTTTATAATATCTTGTGATTTCTTTTTTTTTTTCTTGTATGTTTAAATTTATGTTGATATACATTTCTTACATTCAAAATCATAATTTTTTGTGTTATCGATAGATCTATGGAAATTTCATGAAGATATTTGGAGAAATATAAATTAACAACAAATTTGAAAATGTAATTTTTCTTTGCCTATAAAGACTTAATATATTTTTGATATATGGATTTATCTATCATATCCATAAAGCAATTGAAATTTCTTCTTTAATATTTTTTTATTTTTATGTTTTTAGAATAAAATAACAAATAATAATTAATTATATTTTTTTATTTGATCATAACAATTGAATATATTATAATTCTATGGATGATCTATCATATCCACAGACCAATTGAAATTTATTATTTAATTATTATTTTTTTATTTTTACATTTTTAGAATTAAAAAAATAAATAATAATTAATTATATTTTATCATTTGATCACAATGATTGAATATATTATAATTCTATGGATGATCTATCATACCCACAAAGCAATTGAAATTTCTTCTTTAATAAATATTTTTTTGAATATATTGTATAATGATTATTTATTTTTTATAATATTTGAAAATAAATAATAATTATTTAAATAATAAATAATTCTTAATTATATTTTCACTTAGAAGTTGTGCCAATACATGTTTTATGGTTGGATATGAGAGTTGGGTTTTTTTCCATCCCATAAAACATTAAAACTTAAGAATTATAATTTATAAATTACAGTTAAGCATATGATTTTTAATGAAATTATAATTAACTATAATTATTTATTCATAAAACCATTAAAATGTATTAATTTAATGTATATACACCTCATTGAGGTCTTATATTTAGTCTTATTGATGTATTTTTATGATTCATTAAAGTATTTATAGTGTTTCCAAGTGTATGCATTTGTATCTTAGTTCTTCTCCGATACGCATGCGTATCCCGATACGTCTCTTAAAATTGACATTCTGATACATTTGGAATTTTCTAATACTTTGAACCTTGGTTTTCGTGAGTTTTTAAAACCTTGATAAAGAGGACTTGGGTTTAGGACTTATGAGAGTTTTTATTTTTTTAGGAAAATTCTTGTTTAGTACCTTGTACTTTGGGCCTAGTGCCACTTTGGTATTCAAACTTTAAAACATGACAATTCAATACCCGAACTTTCAAAACATGCCAATTTAGTGTCCTACCATTAACCAACTGTTAAGTGGGCATTTTCAAATGCCCTTCGAGTGTCATCTAATTTTATTTATCACCAATCCAAATATTAACAAAAAATGAACAGTCCCAAATCATTTTATCTTCTATTCAAAAAAAATTGGGATCACCAAAATGTTCACTGAGATGTGACCCCAAACCTAGATCATTTTATCTTCTATTTGGGAGTGTTCATTTTTTGTCAACATTTGGATGATTAATAAAGAAAATTAGATGACACTCAAAAGACATTTGTGTCTTTTCAAATGCCCACTTAATAGTTGGTTAATGATATGCATTAAATTTGCATATTTTGAAAGTTCTAAATTGTCACATTTTAAAGTTTGGGGACCAAAGTGGCACTAGGCCCAAAATACAAGGTACTAATTAAGAATTCCCCCTTTTTTTAATAGAGAGGCAACACAAAAACATGGTATATATATGTATTGGTCCGCATCGTTGCATGTTCCAATACACGTGATTAAAGGGATACACCCTTGTTCATAGCATATCATTTATATGCACCAATGCTGATACAATACACCCGATACAACACAAACACATGGAAATACTGTCTTGTATCGATATTTCCAATCCTTGTATATATATGCATTATATATCTTATTTATAAATAACTATTTATAATATAATATTATAAATATAATAAACCAAGACCAAAGAACCGACTTGGTAAAAAACGGAACCAACTAACCAATTGGTTTTGGTTCAAAAAGGCTCATGGTTTGAAAAAATGAAGGACCGGTTGATTTGAAAAAAAAGGCTCATGATTTGGTAAACCCAGTTTAACCAACAATTGAAGTAGGTGCCAACTCAAAATTAATGCCACAAATATTCGCTCCACCATACAATTCGGGTAGTAAGGTATTAGTTAAGCCGGAACTCGACCCTTTGACATCCCTAATTCTAATTTGCAAAGTTAATGCGAAGCGAGGTGGGCGTATGGGTGGATTCGACTAGAATTATACTCGAGCCTGAGCTCGATTCAAACTAGATACTTGAGTTATCACGTTCCGATCTAAAATGTATTATGAAAAGGCTCAATTATCTTTTTGCTAGGGTATCAATTTTCAATTCGTGTCAAACTTTCAACCCCCCACCCCCCTCCCCTGTGTGGGGCAACGTAAAATATATGTAATGTGGTCGGGATTAGTACGAAGAGTATTCATTTGCATATATGTTGTGAGCAGCCCCCACAATTTTGTTTTATTTTATTTTTTTGACGTTTCCTTCTCGTGGAATGCTGGACTTCTTAGGGTTTCTATTTTTTTCTCTTTGCTTCGTCGTCGTCATTATCATCAAACCCTAAAATCACAGACTGGATCGAACATCAACCAACCAACCAAATCGATCGACTTAGCAATCCTCTACCTCTCTTTTTCGTCGTTGATCGTCTTCTTGGACCTAAAATATCAGAAACATGAGGCAAACTAGAAAGAACATTCAATTTTTTTCCCCTGCTGTAATCGCTAAAACTGCGTGAGATCGAGTCATAGATCAGCAAAAATGCAAGACAATCGAAACTCCAGATGAAATCAACACAAAGCTAAAGGATCCATGACGATTTTTCTTTCAGATGGACGAGAAAACCCCATTTTTGGACCCTTGAAAGAACCCACGTTTCTTCTCTAATGTTGGACCCAGAACTTCTGATTTACTGGACAGAAGGACAAGGCAAGGGGAATTTTCAGTCTGATTTGTTTGATTCAAGGTTTTTTTGAGTTTGGAGCAGAAATTTCTTTCTGGGTCCCCTTTAAAATGTTCAAATCGGTGGTTTATCAGGGGAATTCTCCACTTGGGGAAGTAGAGATTTTCCCCCAGAACCAGGAAATCGACATGACGAACAAGGAATTCAGGATCTCTCACTTCTCACAACCGAGTGAGAGGTGCCCACCACTGGCAGTCCTTCACACTATCGCCCCCTGTGGCGTTTGCCTCAAAATGGAGTCGAAGTCGCAGTCAGGGGACTCTCCGTTGTTTTCTTTGCACTCCTCTTGTCTCAGAGAGAACAAGGTACTACCAAACTCAAAATGAAAAAACAGCTCAAACAGAAGAAGAAATGTTGAACCAGATAAATCTGAACAGAATGAACAAGGGACCTTATTTCGTAATACAAGTGAACTCTATCATTTTAGCTCATGTTTCATTATTATTTTTTTTTACTTGTGATTTTTAGCATTTTTTTTTTGTATTTTCCCCAATAAATTGTTATAATATGTGTGCAATGCACTGCTCAATGCTACCTACGATGGAAGGAGATGAACTTGCTCCACAAACTTGAGAAACAAATGATCTCAAAACTATTATCTTCCCAACTGATCAGAAGAAAAAAAAAATAAAAGAAGGAAGAAGAAGAAGTTATTGTCTTCCCAGGGTTTGATAGAGTGGTTATCATGTTTTGGCTCTCATGGATTTTCTAATTGATGGTTCTCACAGGGTTTTTGTGCTTTTCACTGAACTGGTTGTTTTGGCAAAGCTTTTTTTGTTAAAACGCTGACAAATGCTTGGGTTTTGTTAAAGTTAATATGTCTAGATGGTTTGATTTATGCTAATAAATGAATCTAATTTGAGTAGGAGCATGTTTCAGGTGAAACTTTGATACTGACAAGGAAACTTAAAATGACACTTGAAAATTCATAAAATCTGATCCAACAAATAATTGCTATTGTTGCTTATTGCTGAGAAACATGATTCAGGTAGAATTTGTTGAGGGAGATGATTTATGAACAGTTTTCTGCATAAAGAAAATAGGCATATGTATTCAAAATCCAAATTTAATGTGTATGTGTGCATGAAAATTGTTGTTATCTTTCTTGGAAGTCGAATAATCTCATACAGTTGTTACATTGCTTCACTGTGATCGTTCTGTGGATTGAGAACCTGCTTAAGATGCTACCTCTGTCATTTTGTACTATCTGCCCTCTGATCTAACACATCTACATATATAAATGCATCCATTGTTTGATTCATCTGCATGTTGACATAAAAACTAAAATGGATACTTCAACAAAATGCACTTTTGGAGATATCCATGTATGTGGCTGTTTTCAACTCCCCAAAGTATCTTGTTGCTTACTATGCTGTTGCTTTGTTTGTTGATGTTTTTATGCTTACAGACTGCTGTTGTGCCCCTGGGAGAGGAGGAGCTCCATTTGGTGGCCATGCCAACTAGGAAGATTGGCGAACAATGTTTATGTTTTTGGGGTTTTAATGTTGCACCAGGACTTTACAATTCTTGTCTTGTCATGCTAAATCTTAGATGTCTTGGCATAGTATTTGATCTTGATGAGACACTTGTAGTTGCAAATACAATGCGTTCATTTGAGGACCGAATTGATGCCTTACAGCGTAAAATAAGCACAGAGGTGGACCCACAACGCATTGCTGGCATGATAGCAGAGGTGAAACGGTATCAAGATGACAAGATTATTTTGAAACAATATGCAGAAAATGATCAGGTTATTGATAATGGAAAGGTGATTAAAGTTCAATCTGAGATTGTTCCAGCTCTGTCTGACAACCACCAACCAATTGTTCGTCCACTTATAAGATTACAGGAGAGGAACATCATTCTGACTCGTATAAATCCTGGGGTATGTACTGATCAATCCCAAGACCTTTGTTGAAGTCAAGCCCATAACTCAATTGGATGATGCTCTCTGCCTCAATTTGAAATCATGGTTCTCACTATCATTATATCTGCAATTGCACATGCAAAGATATGATTAAATGCACAAGCACTGACAATTTGACATTGATATAAACAAAGATGTATGTACTGCATGATTCAGTTTTTGGTAATCATATTATCGCAGAGGAATTACAATTGATGCCTCCCTCCAGTTAGAGCTCCTTTACTTGCTTTTTATTTTTGCTCTTCATTAGGCTTACGTATTCACATTAGGGATGATAGGTTACTACCATATTTAAACGCAGAGCATATGCAGGGCTGTCTGCAGTGTCCAGTTGAAGTGTTTCACCAATAGCAATACAAAATATTTGTTTCTTTGCAGATTCGTGATACAAGTGTTCTTGTAAGGCTGAGACCTGCATGGGAGGATCTCCGTAGCTACTTAACAGCAAGAGGGCGCAAACGATTTGAGGTTTATGTATGCACAATGGCTGAAAGAGATTATGCTCTAGAAATGTGGAGGCTCCTTGATCCAGATTCAAATTTAATCAACACAAAAGAACTACTGGATCGCATAGTGTGTGTCAAAGCTGGTGAGTTATGAATGGATTATATGCTTCTCCATTTCACAACCTCATTTTATATATTTGTTGTGTGTCTAATTAGACAAATGATTAATGATATTCAATATTGTTTCTGATCCAATCTCTTTGTTCAGTGTCATACTTAAATTTTTGTCTTATATTTTTGAACTGCAAGGGCATTGCTGTCTGTATCACATTTATTTATTTTGACATCTTAATAGGCTCAAGGAAGTCTCTGCTCAATGTCTTCCAAGTTGGAATTTGCCATCCTAAGATGGCATTGGTTATTGATGATCGGTTGAAAGTGTGGGATGAGAAAGATCAACCTCGGGTGCATGTTGTTCCTGCATTTGCTCCATATTATGCTCCCCAGGCTGAAGTATGCCACAATCCTTTTTATACTACAATATTTTTCAAGGAAAAACATGTATTTAATCCACTTATTGGTAGACAACTTCATCTTGTCATTACTGGCTTCCTTGCAGGCAAATAATGCTGTCCCAGTTCTCTGTGTTGCAAGAAATGTTGCATGCAATGTTAGAGGTGGATTTTTCAAGTAAGGCCACACACATCCCATACAAAGTCTTGCTATTAAGGATTTGCGAATTTGGTTACTTAATTCAACTTCACAAAGCCTTTATCCCAACTGTATGGGGATGGCTACAGAAATCCTGTTTCTCCTTTTCCACTCTATTTTCAATTTGTTGCTTCCAAGTACTGATAAAGGAAAGAATACATCTTTAAGTTTATAGATGGTTTACCAAAATGAAAGTTTACTGATGAAAATATTTTTAGATTATTTCTATCTTAGGTAATAATAATACTTTACTACATAAGGTATGGATTTGTATGTGGGCTTGTGCTGTTCTTTTTGGCATTAAAGAATCTTGGTTAATTTTGACAGGGAGTTTGATGAAGTTCTTTTACAACGGATTCCTGAAATTTTTTATGAAGATGATATGGCAGGCTTTCCTTCTCCTCCTGATGTGAGCAACTATTTAATTTCAGAGGTAAACCATGATAAACTTTGGGCTTTCCCACTCAGTCTTTTTGTGAAACCAAAAGGATCCTGCTAGGTACTTAGGGTAGGCCATCTGCATGCCTGCAAAACCTGCTGCTTTCATGCAGGTAAATGACCTATCACTAAATGGTCCCACTGGGAGATGTCCTCCAGAAGTAATGATTTAATTTGGGGGTAGGCCTTCCACATTCTAGCAAAACCTGCTGCTTTCATGCAGGTAAATGACCTATCACTAAATAGTCCCACTGGGAGATGTCCTCCAGAAATAATGATTTAATTTGGCACTTGAACAATCCATTAGAAAGGCCTTCTTTGACACTTATGGCATTGCCTGTGTTTTCAATCTCTAATCTCGTCCTTGTATTTGGCTATTTGCACCATGTAATAATATATGATCCTGGCGCTATGCTACACTTTAATTTTTGGTTTCTTCCTGATCTATCTTGTGTTAAACATCCTTTAATGAATGTATTTTCAGGATGATACTTCTGCTTCAAACGGAAACAAAGATCCACTTTGTTTTGAAGGGATTACTGACGTTGAGGTTGAAAGGAGATTAAAGGTTGCATATCACTTCTGCTACTTTTGTTTTTTCATAGCTCCCCCCTCTCCAACAGATGCCCTCTTTTTCTTTGAAGGGGTTTAGAAGCAAGGATATACCTGTCCTGGATAGATCAAATTCAGGATTAGAGCTCCCCATTGTTTGGCTTGTAGTGGGATTCTAAGAGTTGTGGGATGGTGATGCATCCATATTCTTGGAAAGACACACCTTTTACGTAAATTTATTTTGCATCTATTGTGGATGAGTTTATTCTTTTTAAGTAAAGTTTTCTTCATGTAAAATATAATACCTTATTCCCAATTTTAATATCCTGTATGTAGATTGAATAAATTAAAGATTTGCATCTAAGATGTACCACTAAAATCTATGGCAGTTGTGTGATAAAACTATGAGATAAAAAGAATCTTTGTACATTCAACCTGCTGCTAGCAGCACTAGGATAGTTGAAAGAATTAGTGGGTTGGGGGGGGTAGTCTGTGGATAAATGTTATTACTGCTAAGATAATTGTATGTATGTTTTCCTGTTATCAATAATATTGCTTATCAAGTTGCTGATAGAAAATATATGATAGAACTTGGAGATATGTTTGTTTGTTCAGGATGCAATTCCAGCTTCTTCTTTGGTCAATAGTCTGGACCCAAGGCTACCACTTATCCAGCATGCAGTGGCATCTTCATCAAGCTCTGTTTCACTGCCAACTTCTCAAGGGCCAATGATGCCTTTCCCTAATAAGCAGTTTCCTCATGTTGCAACATTGGCTAAGCCATTAGTTCAAGTAGGCCCACCAGAACTTAGCCTGCAAAGTTCTCCCGCAAGAGAAGAGGGTGAGGTCCCAGAATCGGAATTAGATCCTGATACAAGGAGGCGGCTTCTTATTTTGCAACATGGGCAAGACACAAGAGAACACACCTCAAGTGAGCCTCCATTTCCAGTTAGACCTCCTCTACAAGTTTCAGTCCCAGCTGTGCAATCTCATGGAAGTTGGTTTCCGTCGGAGGAAGAGATGAGCCCAAGACAACTAAATCGCACAATACCCAAGGAATTTCCTTTAGAACCAGAGGCAGTGCATTTTGATAAGCACCGACCTCGTCGTCCACCCTTTTTCCAGGGATTGGAGAGTTCCATTCCTTCTGATAGATCACTTAACGAAAACCAAAGATTGGCGAAAGAGGTAACAGGCAATGGTTTCACCTTGTAGTCTTGAGATTGATTCCTAAAAGTAGAGTGAAAGTTGTGGTTGATGAAGCGTAATGATTTAAGAAATTATTGATTATAGGTACATCAAACAGATGATCGGATGAGAATAAACCATTCGGTATCAGGTCACCGTCCATTATCAGGTAATCTTTGACCTAAACATAATTGTGTTAGTTATATTTGGGAAATCACATCCCAAGTTTGTAACTCTATTATAGGATTTTTGAGGTGATCTGGAATCTTAAAATGAATTAGATTGCACAGAATTGAATTTCTTGGGGGTAAAATCACCAATTCATGAATGGCATTAAATGTAACATAATTTGCTAATGACCTAGTTTGTTTTTGGACAACACTTGAAACTTGTAGAGACCCCAAAAGAAATACTGCTTTTTGTAACAAAGTTGCTGGGTTTTGAAGCAGAACGAATGAAGTTTTGAACAGGTTTAGAACTATGAACATGTACCAAACAAAACTAGGGTTAGGGCAGGTCAAATTGGTTAAGAGAGATGCTACACATTTTACCTGTTCAAGTCGAGGGTTATTCTATTAACAAGTCAAATATCTTCAAGCAGTTGCTTATTTTTGCTGATGTTATATTGTTCTTTACTATATGCTTTTGAAATTCATATTGATTTTGTGTGTAATACAAAACTTTGCTAACTTGTCTGGTCGTCACTTCGATTGTTTTCCTGTTCAAGTTACTTGTCAAAAGAAAAAAAAAGAAGTCAATCCATTCAAGTTTCAGGTATTTATACTTTTAACTGATGTGACTGATGGTCGAGAATGTGAAATATGGAGTATAGTTTAAATATGTAATTTTTTTGCTGGCAATAGAATAAGAAATCGGGTCTACAAAAAATGATACTATTGTTTCTAATTTTCTATGGTCTTAGAGGCATCAAGATTCTAGCTTCACCTTTTGTTTGGTTATTTATTTTAATGGACTTGGAAAGATGGAGACTGTTGTATTTTATTATATTTTCATTTATTTCAGTTGTTTATATTTTGGATGCATTAGTTCATTGCATGTGACTTTTTTACACTATCTTCTGAAATTTTCATTTTGAAGGTGAAGAGCTGCCTCTCGGTCGCTCATCTTCCAGCAATAGGGATCTTCAGTTTGAATCTGGACGTGGGAATTTGCAGTATCCAGAAACTCCAGCTGGGGTTGTACAAGAAATTGCAATGAAGTGTGGAACCAAGGTATTGAGAAAGTGTTAAGACTCTTATTTATTAAAAAAAAAGTCAACTACCCTGGTGGCCTGTGCATGGGGCTGAATAAATTTATATGTTTCTCATTCTGAATTTCTTTTTGTTACTTGTAGGTGGAATTCAGGCATGGTCTGGTTGCTAGTACGGAGTTGCAGTTCTCATTTGAGGTTGTTTCTTTAGCTTTTGATTTACCCAAAAATTATTGATTCTAGAACATTTCTAGGTTAAATCCATTGGCCTTATTTTTTTGACTGGGTACTAATTCTTTTTGTTTCAGTCATTTAAATTATTGTAGGTAATCCATAAAAAGGATAAGATTGAGGAGGATGTCCCCCATAGGATTAGAGTGGCATGGGCAAAATGGAGGGGTGCATCTAGAGTCTTGTGCAACATGGGAATACTACTGAAGTAAAAAGGAAAATTTTATAGAACAATAAGGTCAGAAATGCTGTACAGAGTCGTCTTAGAAACAACATTGTCCAAAAATGAGTATAGCAGAAAAAATGCCAATGTCAAGATGGTTGGGTGGGAAAACTAGAAATGATAGGGTAAAAAATGAGCATATTTTCCAAAGCCTAGGAGGCGTCTTAGAAAGTGAGAAAATATGGGTAGACTATAATGGTTTTGTTACGTGCAAAGAAAGAACATCTAAAGCACCTATGAGAAGTGATCTGATGCAAGTTGAAGGGTCTAGAAGGAACTAGGGGCAGGCCAAAAGGGACATTGGTTGAAGTAAGTAAGAAATGATTTGGAGGCCCATAATTTTGACAATGGATATGACACTGTATAGAGTGAAATAGCAGAACAGGATTACATACCCAGCCTCATATAGTTGGCACAATATTGATCATTGGCACAAGGATTAGCTGAGTTGACGACTATTTAAATTGTTCTAGGTAAATATTAGGACCAACCAATCATGTTTGTAGGTCAACCTGTACCTGTGAGATAAGATGAATGAGGTCGATGTTTTCAGATGTAAACCAGTCCTCAAAAATAGGTGTAAACTTGAAAAATTAGAGAGAAAAAGGAGGAAGAAAAGTAAGAGCAGCAGTACAAGAGAAGAAGATGGAGAAAAGAGGAGGAAGAAGAAGAAATGTTCGAATAATCCTTCCCTTTCTTTTCTAATCCTTTTTACTAAAAATTAATGTTAAAATAATTACAAGTATGCCCTTAAGTGGGCAGTCAGCTAGGTAGTAACATAAAGAGATCAAACAAAAAGAAATAACAGGCCCATTAAGAGAGGCCCAATAGCTAACAGGAAAATAGAATAAATATTACAAGAGAAGATACTAGGACCCATTCAGCCTAGTCTTTTTACACTCCCCCTCAAGTTGAGCATAGATGTCAATCATGCCCAGCTTGCTTATATAGTGTGTCATTTTCCCTCTCGGAACTCCCTTGGTCAAGATATCAGCCAATTGTTCGTCTTATGTGATGAATGGCAAACAAACTTCTCTTGAGGAAACTCTTTCCCTTATAAAATGTCTATCAACCTCAATGTGCTTAGTTTTGCCATGTTGAACAGGATTATGTGCAATATTTATATCTGCTTGGTTGTCGCAGTAGAGCATCATTGGCTTCTCATAGTCAACTCCCAATTCTTCTAAAATGGATCGTAGCCACAGTAATTCTAACACGCCATGTGCCATTGCCCTGTATTCTGCTTCAGCTGAGGATCTAGCAACTACAGATTGTTTCTTACTTCTCCACGACACATTGTTCCCAGCGACCAAAGCACAATAACCTGAGGTGGATCTCCTATCATCAATACATCCTGCCCAATCAGCATCAGTGAAAGCTTCCAGTTTCATGTGTCCATGTTTGGCAAATAGAATACCTTTCCCTGGAGTACCTTTCAAGTAACACAGAACCCTTTCTGTAGCAGCTAAATGAGTATCTCTAGGAGAATGCATAAATTGACTAATAACACTTACTGCATAGGAAATGCCCGGCTGAGTCATGCAAAGATATAATAACTTCCCAAGCAGTCTCTGAAACACCCTCTTATCAAATAAAAGTTCACCATCTGTAGCAGAAAGCTTATGATTGGGATCAATAGGAGTGGAGATTGGTTTAGCTCCAAGTTTACCAGTCTCCGCAAGGAGGTCAATGACATATTTATGTTGAGAAATGAAGATACCATCCTTACATCTAGCAACTTCAATGCCCAAAAAATATCGAAGATCTCCCAAATCCTTGATCTCAAATTCAGAGTTAAGAAATCTTTAGAGTTTACTGATCCCTTGAGTGTCATTACCCGTGATCACAATATCATCAACATAAACTATCAAAAAGGTCACCAGAGAGCCATTTCTCTTCAAGAACAGGGTATGATCAGATTGAGTTTGTGTGTAATCAAAGGAGACAAGAGCAGCCTTGAACCTCTCAAACCAAGCCCCAGGAGACTGTTTGAGACCATAAATAGATTTCTGTGGTTTACACACCTTGCCTTGCATTTCCTTCCTATACACCTCTGGAGGCAAAGACATATAGACCTCTTCATGTAGGTCTCCATTCAAGAAGGCATTTTTAACATCAAACTGCCCCTGGAGGCAAAGACATATAGACCTCTTCATGTAGGTCTCCATTCAAGAAGGCATTTTTAACATCAAACTGGTGTAGGGGTCAATCAAAGGTAGTGGCTAGAGATATAAAACCCGGACTGAGGTCATCTTAGCTACAAGAGCAAATGTCTCAAGATAGTCAATGCCATACATCTAAGTGTAGCCTTTAGCAACCAGCCTAGCCTTAAACCTCTCAATAGATCCATCGGAGTGATATTTAATGGTAAACACCCATTTACAACCCATTGGTTCCTTCCCTTCAGGCAAGTCAACAATATCCCAGGTATGGTTCTTGTGCAAAGCATCCAGTTCAGCCATCATAGCATCCCTCCATTCAGGTTCAGATAAGGCTTCTGGTACGGACCTGGGTATCACATGGGAAGAAACAGAAGCAAGAAAAGAGTAGTAGGAAGGGGAGAGAAGGCTGTAAGACAGGTGTTTGGAGATACAATGGGTTGAACACTTCCGCTTGCCCTTGCGGAGAGCAATAGGAAGGTCAAGGTCTGGGAAAGATGTAGATCGGTCAGAGGAAGGTTGATCTGTTACCTCAGTAATGATGGGAGGAGCAAGAGGCTCTTCTGTAGGAGTGGAAACAACTTGCCCATGTCTGAATCTGTGCCTTTGGTACCACCTTTGGAGAACAGGATGAGGAGGAATTATAGGAGAATGAGGTGGAGGAGGAGGAGGAACATGAATATTGGAGGTAGGTCCAGTGGGAGAAGTGGACACCTCATGAGAGGACTCAAGAGGAATGGGAAGAGGAACAACTGGAGACATAGTGTTGAGGCACAAATAAAGGGAATACAAGTGTATAAGAAAAGGCCATGTCAGCCTTTAAGTAATGTAACTGTCACACCAACCACAACTATTTCCATTACTTCTCACGGGCCCAACATGTTCCATCATGAGTCAATTAAGGGAAGAAGTTGAAAGACACCCACAACTGAACAAGCTGCGTTCACAGGTCCAAGAGGACCCTACTAGCCACCCAGGGTACACAGTGGAGAATAACTTGCTGTTGTATAAACGCCGAATGGTGATACCACAGGATTCARCCCATATTYARMAGCTTTTGGAAGTGTTCCACTCATCACCAGCAGGAGGACACTCAGGGATTTTGCGCACTTACAAGAGACTAGCCACCCAATTCCACTGGAAAGGCATGCGGAATTCAGTCCAAAAATTCATAGCCGAATGCGTCATTTGCCAGAAAAATAAGGCTGATACCCAGTCTCCAGCAGGACTGCTACAACCACTCCCAATTCCTACACAAGTGTGTGCGGATATATCCATGGACTTCATAACGGGCTTCCCCTTTCCCATGGCAAGTCCGTCATTCTCGTAGTGGTTGATAGATTCACCAAATACTGTCATTTTCTCCCTCTTTCCCACCCCTTTACAACTTCAATGGTGGCTGAGATTTTTACTAAGGAGGTGGCACGACTGCATGGTACCCCTAACTCTATTGTCTCAGACTGCGACCCAATTTTTATGAGTCGTTTATGGGAAGAACTTTTTCGACTACAAGGAGTGAAACTCTTCAAATCTACCAGCTACCATCCTCAAATGGATGGGCAAACTAAGGTGGTCAACCGGAGTTTGGAAACCTAAGGTGCTATGCAGGGGATAGGCCACGTTAGTGGCTCAAGTGGCTTCATTGGGCGGAATGGTGGTACAATACCACGTATCACAATGCAGCAAGAATGACTCCCTTCCGGGCTCTATATGGACGAGACCCACCTCTCCTACTCCCATATGAGAAAGGGTCTACATCAGTAGCGGCAGGGAAGACCAACTCCTTCAGCGAGATAGGGTACAAGATCTCAAATCCCACCTCCATCGAGCCCAACAATGGATGACAGACTCTTACAACAGAAAGCATAGGCCGGTCCAACACTAGATTGGGAAGCAAGTCTTCCTTAAACTATAACCATACAAGCAAGTTTTAGTAGCAGGCCGCAGGTGGAACAAACTGAGCCCAAGGTACTTCGGCCCATTTCGGATTGTGGAACGCATTGGGTCTGTGGCAGACAGGCTTGACCTTCCAGCAACATCAAAATTGCACCCTGTATTCCATGTATCTCTATCAAAGAAATGGCCAAAAACAGGAGCAATAACAACAACCACCCTTCCATCATTCTCGGAAGATGGCCAAGTTCAAATTGAGCCCACCCAAATAACAGATCTTAGGTGGATACGCAAAGGGAATCACATCGAACCAGAGGCATTAGTGGTATTGTCAGGTCTTCCACTTGAGGATGCAACTTGGGAACCTTACTTGGACTTACAAAATAGATTTCCACATCTTGACCTTGAGGGCAAGGTCGCTTTCAAGGGAGGAGGGATTGTTGAGATATAAATAAAGGGAATACAAGTGTACAAGAAAAGGCCACGTCAGCCTTTAAGTAATGTAACTGACAGCCAACCACTAGAACAAACTAAATAACAAAYTRGACAAGTGRAGAKGCTGATATAACAGAATTGTAACAGAAGTGTATAAATAAGGAAAGGAAGCCAAAAGAGGAATTATTGATTTTGGGAATACAATCTCTCTCTCTCTCTCTCTCTCTCTCGTTCAGGAGGCAGGCTTCCTCGAAATA